TCATCTATGTCTTAAGAGAAGATGGCAGAAGTTTGAAGGAGATTGGTGAAAAGGGCGACGGAGCACCACTCTCCAAACAACGTGTGCGAAAACAACTAAATCGCGTACTTGGACCAAAATGGCCAACTTCCTGTGCGACTTCTCACTTGGGTCCAAGAGTCTTTTTTGTAGGGCCTGAGACACCACAATAGTGTACCAAATTTCGTAATCCTCAGTCAAAGCATTGCTTGGGGCTGACAGTTTTAATGGCCCTAGGGGGCGCTATTTCAGAAAATAGGCCACGCTCACCAGATGTTCACATCAGATCTTTTGGGGGGCCAGACTAGGATCACTCACAAGAAGTTTCGTGACGATATCTTTAGAAATGACAAAATGGGAGGCAAACGTAAGGCCACGGCGGTACGCCTAACTTTGCCGCGCCGCCGCAGCCCCGCCCTCTGCCGAAAACTCCCAGAAAGTGACGCCAAGGAACCCTCACTTGTCTTGAGTTAACAGATACAAATTCTTGGTGATTAAGTGAAATGGGGCCATTTGGGACCTTTCACAGTAAAACTTGACCTTTTTGATCCTGAGGGGGCGGGGCTTGTGTTATGTCATCATCCGACCATTCAATTTAATTTGTGAGTGGATGACGAATGACCACAGAAATTTTTGTATCTCTATTCCATTCAGTTATGAAGTTATAACAATTAAAAAAATGTTGGCGAGTATTCAAACTTCGAGGCCTGGCCCCGCCCCTTCAGCATATACAAAAACTCAGAATCCTTGTCTCATTTTGTTCGCCCATCCCTTCTGAGCAATTTTACACCACTTTTGAGACGATCGTGCGAAAAATGATAGAGCAATCCAATCAGAAATGTACCCTAAAAACGGCCAAAATGGCTAAAAATCGCCATTTCAATCCAAAATGGCCGACTTCCTGTTTGATATTGACCATGGTTGCAAGAGACTTTTCTGTGCGGACTGTTGAGCACTACAAGTGTACCAAATTTCATAACTGTACGATAAACTAAGCTTTATGGAGAAGGGTATTTTTCACTTTGTAGGGGGCGCTGTTCAGCCAATTTCTTTGCGATTTTTTTGGGACCTTTAAAATATCAAATTTTTCACCAGGCCTGACAAGTTTGCAAAATATTGTGAGTTTTGGGGTATGTTAAGGTCCCCAAAAAGCCATTCATTTCGCGCACGGAATAATAAATAAAGAAAGAATAATCAGAGCAAAAACAAGAGGCCTTCGCAGCGCTTTCGCTGCTCGGGCCTAAAAAAACATACAGAAGATACTCTCCCATTTACACCCTAATGTGAATCTGGAAAGTTAATACAAAACACCGTTTATGGTACAAACATTATTTATGAACAGGAATGTCAACGCTATGTAATGCCGCAACTGAACCTTTTGATGAGCATTACATGTCACTTAACAAGTCTAACACTTTAAGAACAGCCCTGTGTAATTTTGTCTACAGTGAACAGAGGTAATTTTTCAGTCTTTGAACCTTGACAGAAAGGTTTCCTGTATCCAGCTCCATGAACACTTTTTGAAATGCTTCAAATGTGCATTTGAGATTCTTGGGATATTTCAGATCCAGAGCATAGCACAGTCCCAAAAGATAGCAACAGGCTTTGCTCAGATTCCCAAGTTTGCCCAGAACAGTAACGCCTTCAATAACAATACCCACATCAGTAGGTTCGCCTGACCTGTCTTGATTCTGCAGCAGGTAAATCTTCATCACCTCCTCAGCCAAAGCCTCTTCAACAAAGACAGCATCAGCACTGTCCTTTAAAAAGAGAAACAACTGTTTTAAGCTCACATATTTCCAAACATTGAAACAAAAATTTCATTTGTATGACATCACTGGTACTCATAATATGTGGGCACTGTGCTCCAAAATCTTTGAGCAAATGCTATTCTTTTGTATGCTTTGAAGTAGGGCAAAAATAGAATATCACGATGTTTCCAATATTTTATCAAGATTTCGATTTTATCACGATTTTTTGTCCATGAATAGCATAACTTCAATTGCGTATTAAAGAGAAACATTGAATAAATAAACATTTATTCATATTAGGGATAATCAGCACAGTGCTAACACACTTATATTTTAAACTCACACCAGAGATGATAAAAGCCCTGAGAGAAACAATTACAAAAATCAGTTTTTCTCGTTTTTCAAGTAACTTAACATAAATTAAAATCGTAAACATATTTAAAGTGCAAACATGTCAATTGCAAACGTATTGTGCAAACATTAACTTGTTCAAAATACTATGTAGCTCCCAGTTGCTCATGTAGTGGATAGTTAAGCTCAAATACGGCTCTGATGTGCGGCTGGACCAGAGATCGCTTGTAGTGATGGGAATTCCGGCTCTTTAGAGAGCCGGCTCTTTCGACTCCCAAGTGACTCCTCAGATTTTCTGTTGCGTAGAGTACATTTATAACCAAAATAATACTAAACTATATGTAAAATAATTTACTAATGTAAAAAAGCAATATATCAAATATTTATCATTTCTATGGATTTAATAACTGAACACTTTAAGAAATCTCCACTTTCCGACTGCTGGCGCTCATTTTCTCACCGTCTTCGTCGCACTCTCCTCTCTATCTCGCTCACCTTTTTCCTCCTCCTCATTCCCTCTCGTCTCCCTCCTCCCACATGTGCTCTGCTGTGTGTCTGAGTCTTATCCTCCCTCTTCCCCGCCCCTACTGCTCTGTGTGTGGACAGTCTGGACACACAGTTACACATGTTGACCAATCGCCTGCAGCTTTCACCAAGGCAGGGGGGAGGGGCGGGGACGGCTCCCAATGACGAGCCGGCTCCCGTCGTTCACTTCAAAGAGCCGGCTCTTAGAGCCGGTTCGTTCGCGACCGACACATTACTAATCGCTTGTGGTAGCAAATAACTGCGCATTCTGAATATTTTCTGCAACTCTCACTTTGCATTCAGCGTACATGCGTGGAATGGCTGTGTTTGAAAAATACTTGCGGCTGGAAAACTCGTAGCGCGGATCCAATGTTTTTATCATGTTCTTCAATCCCACTCCTACTGTTCGCACGGGACACAAATCTTTAACCAAGTGGTACGTCACTGCATCGGTCACGCTGTTCCATCGTCTGCTGTCTCTGTCGTAGGGAGTGAGTTTTGTGAGTGTTTGTTAGCGTTTGCTGCCTGGAAGAAGCACTAGCTGCTGCAGCCGCAGGCTTTTTAGCTTTAGCTGCCAGCTGGCTCTCATTGTATTGTTTGGGATGCCTTCTTTTCAAGTGATTAAACAAGTTTGTGGTGTTGCCATCACTTGCCTTGACGCTCTCCTTGTAAATGACGTTTCGCTGCTCTTTGTTATCTGGTGAATAACCGAACCAGTTCCATATAATGGACGAGGCGTTCCTCTTCGGAATGAAAACCTCGTTGTCGCTCTCAGCCGCGGCCGAAGCCATGTTTGTTCACACGCAGGTGAAAACAAGCGGGGCACTAATATATTACTATGACTCACTCTGATTGGTTAAGGGTCAAACAAAGGCGTGTCATTCGCTGAGGTAAGTTTCCTTTTCATTCAGAGGCAGAAATTCAACAGCAGAGCTGTGAATCGTCATAAAAAGGTCTCTCAAAAATGACAGACCGTCAGATGTGTAGATCGTAAAACGGTCTAAAATTGTCATATCGCCCAGCCCTACTTTGAAGTGTTTTTTTTCTTTAGAACATTAACTTAAAACTTTTCTATGATCTCACAAGCTAAAACTACTAATATTCCTAAAACAGATTTATTGCACCAACCTCAAAGGTTTTGATTAAGGCACTTGGATCCTCTCCCAGATGGTCAATGAGACATCTGATGATGACTTATCGTTTTTTCTCGATGGAATTTCCACTCTGTAAAACAGGAAGTCTCAACTGAGGCAAAATTTGCACATTTAAAACATGACTTACCATTTCTAGCTTAAACATAACTATTTTTTTTCTGTTGTTGACCTGTTTTCACACCCACCATCAAGGTAAGAACACCTGTGGAGCTAAAATATTGAACAGAAACCTAAGAAAAGCCGTTTTTAGTGGAGGGCCTCTTCAATGCTGTGTTGGAACGTTTTTGTGGTTAGAAAATGCAATCTTCCTTACCTGAAGCAGAAGGTTTAACTGTGCCCTGTGGCGTTGTCCAGCAGCACCTTTCTTGGCTTGAAACAAGGACAGGAGTTTGGATGAATACAAGTCCAACGATGACATGAACTTTGGTTCAAGGTTCAGGGTCGTGATCCTATGAAACTCTGCACTGACCTGGATGGGAGAGGACAAAAAACAAAGGACAAAAAATCTGAAGGCCAAAATTCTGATTCAATCAAAAAAAAAATCTTTAAGTGGAACTACCATTTTTTGCAACCTGGACCTTATTTTCTAACATGCAAAAGATTAATTTACTCATCCAGACATAAATCCATGTAAGTGGAGTTGTTCGGTATGCAGACTAAAGCCTTAACATAAAGTATTATCTTCCACTAAGCTTCTAAATTTTATGTTATGAATTGCTTGCACTATTTCCCTGTGAGATTGTATAATCTTGGAGGGAAGAGGCGGAGCCAGGTTGCCCTCTGGACCATCGTCTGCCAGGTAGCGATGCGAGAGGAACACACCGCTGAAGTGGCGCACATATTCATAATCACGTCAGCGGCTTTACAGAGAAAGCCTTTCAGCTCCTCTGGCAGCTCTGCTTTCTCCACCTTCCTGGAGATGACAAATGCTAGCAAGGCAGTGTTGTTAGTCCCTGCAGCTGACTGAACAGTGCATTGATGTGCGCGATCAGTGAACCTTGCTATCAGCTGGTCAAGTTTGGCGGGATGGGCCGGTCGCTGTCCAACAACCTTGGTCATTTTGGTGCCGAAAACTGAAGCGAGGCTCAGCTCTAGAGGGGGAACAGGCAGAAAACTCTGGTCTATGAAGCCCTAGGTAGAGACCGGCGCTCTAATCTTCGCTGGCTCTGCTTCTGCCTCAGAGAGGTAGGTCATCACCGCTGGGAACTGAGGCCAGATGGGATCTGGACAACGAGAGTGAGCGGAGCCATACCTTCCCGCCAGATCATCCGATGGGGGTGGAGCAGGCTGAGGGACGGGAAGTCCCTTCTCACCAGCATCCTCATGGATGATGCAGGCAGATCCAGGAGCAGCGCACCAACAACTGGGAGAGGCGTCCTCGCCGACATGTGAAGGCCAGGGATGGATGAGCGTCCGTTTATTCGCCTCCCTTCTGTCGCCAGGCTGCCCAGCTGGGAGGCAGTGGAGCTGCCACCACTGCCGTTTTCCTCACAGTGGGTGGAATCATCCAATTCTGGCCCACCATCGAAGAACTCGATGGCTTCTTCCAGTGAGTACCTCTCTCTTAGCGGGAACGCCTCCTCAGCATCAGCCTTGAAAAAGGCTGACCTCTGCTGCTTTTCCTCTGGTGGGAGGAGCTAACAGGAGCGGCAATAGGAATAAGGTGTGAGGGCCAGGTCCGCATGGTGAGGACCGAGGCAGCCCATGCAGACGTCATGTCGGTCATACGACATGATGTAGCCGGTCTGGCAGGATGGTCACAGACGGATGGTCTCCCTGGACATCTTCTGGCTGGCTGAAGAAAAACAGTAGAGCCGATTCCCTGGTCTCACCGTAACTTATACTAGACCACAGGGGCGGATTTAGGACTGAAGAAGATCCGGGGCTTAACACACACACACACACGTGCGCACACACACGAGCGCACACACACACACACACGTGACACACACTAGTCAACATCATATATACATTGGTCTTGTACCACATAATTTTTAATCTGAAGCTACATATTAAGCATATTCAGGGCAGAGTATTGTTCCTCTTAGTGTTTAGTGTGAGATGATAGTAAATATTCCCTTTCTCCAACAACTTTACCTGATAGTAAGCTAACTTTAGGCAAACCAGCAGCACAACAAATATTTTCAAATAAGACTCACAAACCTGAGTCAGCACCAGTCTCATCAAAGCTGGGGTTCTGTCGCCATACTTTTGGTCTAAAAACGTCTTTATGTCCATCTTCACTCATGCGTTTCAGACAGAGAGTGTAGAAGAAGCCGGCTGCTGAAGGGCTTCTTCTTCAGTGGTGGAGGCTCAGGCAGGCTGTATACAAACTACTACCAGCTGCTCCCTCTCTGTTGGACTTTGGTACTGCATGTTACTTCCGCGATTTAGATCCGGGGCTTTCCATGAAACATCCGGGGCTTCAGCCCAAGTAGCCGGGCCTAACGCCGCCCCTGCTAGACCAGGGTGAGGCCCACACAGCAGGTTGGCGTGGACTAAATTACTTAAGTGCTGCGCGCACAAGGGGAATACCCACTTAAAGGGCTGCGCCTATACTCATAGAATCTGGGGTTACAATATGTAACCAACGTTTAAAAATAATACAATACCCTTCACTCTTCAGTAAAATCTAGTCTGTCGTTATGTGCTCCAGAGTTAGATAAGTGAGACAAAGGCACTTTGCAATCAGCCCAGTCATTTTTCAGTCAGGTTACATTAGCTTAGCCTAAAACAAGTTAAGTGAACTGAAATTACTAACATTTATTGTTCCCTAGGCTTGGGAATGGTTTCAATTAGAACCATTCTGGTTTTGATTCAGATTCCTCATTTTGATTCAAATTCCTAGCGATTCTACAGTCTTATGACAAATTAAAGCAACCTGGCTGCTGCAAGACCATCAAAATCACTAGGATGGTAGCAAGATGTTTTTCCTCACTTATCTTATGATAGGGAATGTAACAGACCAAATTTTATTTACAAGTGGAAATCTCTTTAAATGTTCACTTACTTGGGAGATGTCAAACAACGCCGGCCATCTGTCCTTGATGTTGCTGACACTCAGCTGTTGGCTGATAATATCATGTCTTCTATGTGCAAAGGTTTTGCACATTAAATCCTTGATGGCTGTGCTGTTTTTCTTCTTACACTCATCAATTAGTTGTTGTCGCTCCAGCTCTTGCTGTTCTTTACCATCTTGTCCTGGATAGTGTGGCAGAAACAGCACTTCTTTCCGCGCCTTCTTTATGTTCTTCGCTGGAGCCTTGTCATCAGGGTGCTTGTTCTTCAGTGAGTTGAAAGTTACCTCTGGAACTCCAAGACTTCGTAACTTTGACCTGTAATTTCCCATCTTGTATTTAAGACTATACATCCATCCCATCCAGCCATTACGACTGCCTGGCTCTGTCAGACATGGGTGCTTTTTGACCAGAGCCTCTGCCACTTCTCCAATCTGAAGGCCAGTAGGGTAGGCTGTGTAGCTGTACATATAATCAGCTAATTTTTCCATTATATCTGACTTGAATGAAGTATTGTTCAGCACAGTGCCATTTTGAACAAAGACTTCATTGGCATTTTTCAGTACAGTCTCTGTTGCCACAGAGAAAAGTGGAATGACAATTTCATCTGGCCATTGAGTCTTCAGAGGACTTTGAAGAGGGGAGAGTATGACAGTGTTGTCTGAAGACAGAGATGATCCATCTGTTTGGTCCTTTGTGGTTTTATAGGTTGAAGAGCTTGAACTTTCATTCAGTGAACTTACATCTGAGGGATTTTCACACTGAGGAATCAATGTAAGCACTACTGATGGAATGACCACAGCTTTGACTGTACCCCTATCTTTGATTTGGTTGGGAGAATGAAGTGTAAAGAAATCTCCAAATGAGTCATCATAATAGAGCAATGTGAAATCCTCAACTAGCCCAAATGTCTCTCTCACTGTCTCATGCAACTCCTCAACAGTCCTGGGTATTCCTGAAGAGAGCACAAGCTTCTCACTCTGTTGTCCAAAAATTACTTTCAAGGCAAAGGAGTCCATCTGCAGAATAAAAACCACAAGAAAAAAGAAAAAGAAAGAGGGTATCTGAGTCTTTCCCCTTACACTAACAAACAATGTGACGTTTTATTGACACCATTTGTTTGCCTTCAACACAATATGGTGTTAAGGGGTAAGTGTCACCAAGTACTCTGGGATGTATTAAGGTCAGAGTTTACACTGCCATCTCATCACCTGTGACCTAAAAAATTGTGAGAAAATATGTCTCACAGTATGAAGATGACAGAATGGTGTATAACCATATTTACAGTTTTTGTATGATTAACTGATTGAATAACCAGTACTCACTACCAATTCAGGTGGAGGATACAACTTACAAATAAGTCAACATGGAACAAAGTACAATACTCAATCACATTGAAATAATCTGAATCACATCATATAAATAAAAACATAGTATGGTGACACTAGATGACAGACCATGAACTCATCAATATATTTACCGAACAGAAAAATTCTGAAAATTTAGATTTGGCATTTGTATGATTAAAATAACCCAACACAAAACCAGTATAAATATTTAGGTGGTATCAACATCCACTACTCAGCTTGTATAAAACAATATCATATCATTCCAAATTTTAACACATCAAGTCCTCTGAGTAAAATTACCTGCTTTACTTTGTAGTTGATGCAGATTTTTTTCTCCTGGTAGTGAAGATGTGGCTGAAAATATACAAATCAAAACTTTATCATTACAAAACATGTCACTGAGAATCTGGCATTACATCAGTCTCTTAAAAGAAATTTTAGCTTGGATTGAAATAAACATGTATTGATGTAAATTGGGAGTAACTATACTGGAAATTATGGTACTTTTGGATTGACCCAAAGCATGGACGTCACTAGGATTGAGATATAGGGGCTTAGCCCCAGGAGCTTGACCTCGAACGTTTTTTGTCACACCCTGCAAAAACTTTGTCAATTAATTCATTATCTGAAGAAAATCTAACAAAACCTATTATTTTATCACTTTCCTTTCCTTTCCTTTCCTACTTTTGTGCATTTTCGCTCTTCTTTTTATAAAAAATAACACTTAATCAGTTAATTAGTGGGGTCTATGTTGAAGAAAGATTTTATGTAAGTCCATTAAAAAATTGATATGTTATATTTCCAAATAAAGCTATTCATTTCAGTCTACTGCACTTAACAGGGGGAAATGTTGTAGTCATTTATTTAATTTGTTTAATTACAACTTGTTTAATTATAAATGTTACTGAAATGTGACAATAAAGAACAAATGAATAATTGTCAAACTTTTATTCTGCCAAATGAGTGTGCAGTTGACAGTTTTAATATATGAATAACACTGCTATGATACGGAATAAAGGAGTATGTAATTAACTATTACAAGACAAAATAACAGTATATATGAAAATATCCAGCAAGTAGTAGAACTTATAATACAGAAAGTCAACTATACAGATACAACTTGACATAAGGTTGCAGGTCACATGATTATTATAGTTTTTTTTTTCTCAAGGTCTCTTACCTGTTCACTCCTAAATAGAAAACTGTTCAATTTTGCTTGGGAACTTTGTGCTCAGGTAAATGCTCATAACGATGCGCTCACCCCTGTTTTCACTGTAGATCACTGACCTTGACCATGCAGATCTCCTCAGCATCAACCACCTGGTCTCTCTCCTGTTCCTCACTCACTCTCTTAAAAAAATCTTCATATATCCATCTAGCCAACACATTGAAAAACATTTTCAATTTCTAATGCCAAAAAAATGCTACTAAGCCATTTAGTTTTCACTCACAATAATTGAAACAGCCATTGGTGGATAGATGGTACAGAATATGGACAACTGTTAGCCTAATAAAGCGTATGTTTGGTTGCTCATGATGATGGCATTTTCCATAATGTCACATTAAGCTGCCAAAATTTATGTTTAAGTTAGATGAGTACAATATCTCCTTTCTTTCCCATAGGTAAACATAGGAAATATTAAGCAATTGACAACCCACATGGAAAGAATTCATATAAACATATAGGTTTTAATATATGTTTTGATGTAGCTTTTGAATATATGTGACATTATAAAACTGGCTGTTTACTATATTATAGATACATATATGTACCTATAATATAATATATATATTATAGAAAAAATATATAATATAGAAAAATGGTCAATCATATACACATTCGGCCATATTCTGATTCAGGTTTGTAGTGTGGAGTGATTTTTGTGCCACCAACTGTAGCGTGCAGTGATCAATCAGCAGGAGCACAACCTGCTCTGCAGTCATATGCGGCCCTCTCTCTGCATGCTCAACTCCGTCTCTGCCTGCACAAATCTCCCTGTTGTTGCTCAATTTGCAATTTACAAAGCAATGTAGCCTCTCCGTCAGCCAATCAGACAGCTCTCCATTATGCAATCAAAGCATGTCCAGGAAATACTGCCAGGAAAATTGAACTTTTTTCAGATAAAGACGACTTTATATAATTATATTTAATTAGGTTGATTAACCCTCCTCTTTTCCTGGGACATTTCCACTGTTCACTTCCTTTTACATATCAAGGGATCATCTATGTCTGACCAAACAGAGAAGAAACACTTTATATGTTGAAATTAAAAGTCCTCTTTAACTGAAAATAGTGCAATTTAACAGTTTTAGGAATGGGCGATGTGTCTTTTCTGGAAGTCAAATATGGTCACCCTAATCATGACACATGAATTACAACAAAGTATCTTGCAGGCAGTGGATGGTGACTGGTAGCTAACCAGCAGCAGAAAGCAGTTCAATTAGCTGTTAAATGGGTGCTTTTCTGTAAAGCAGTATTTCCTGGACATGCTTTGATTGGATAAAACAGAGCTGTCTGTGATTGACTGTTGGAGAGGCTACTTGTTGAGGAGAGCAGGGAGAGATTTGCATCGCAGAGACAGAGTTGAGCCCACAGAGGGCTGTAGCTCCTGCACACAAGCGCAGAGCAGGTTCTGTTTGTGCAGACTCATTACTGTACGCACAAGTTGGTGGCACTGTCACTCAATGAACTGGCTGGCTCGTTAATCACGTCACTTCCGGGGAGTTTTCCGACCATTTAACTATGGCGCGGCTTTTCATTATGGTTTGCGGCATGTAAACATGCTAGCGGAGTTAGCATTAGCATGTCGGTGCGGTAACATTTTCCTCTCTCGTCTGAACTATAACCTTGAAATATTAACGGTGTGCTGCTGTTGCTGTCTTACCCTAATGTGATGTTGAGTGACTTACAAGAGCGCTGAGGAGGGTTTGCTCATCGATACAAAGGTTTTGCTGTATAACCCCTGCCCCTGACTTGTCAACAAAGCTGCCGGGCTTAAGGGGAGGAAGTCCTTTCTTGATACTTGTGTGCGACGGTGTAGTTCTATATTCATTAATTATTATTTCTGTTTCAGACAAAAAAAAACTCATGTACCAACTACACGTGTCGTGATTGTGTTGAGCATGTAGATGTGAACAAATAAAAAAAAGTTAACTGAAAAAATAAAATAAACCAAAATGATAGGGGGGCTTGTGATTATTTTAGGGGGGCTGAAGCCCCCCTAAAACGGACCTAACGACGTCAGCGGTTTAAGATAACACTTTTTAGGTTAATGACACCTATTATCCATTAATCTGAAACAAATGATCATGAAAAGGTTTGGATCTTTTACTTTCCAGCACATCCAGGACGTTTTTGGCCTCCCAATTAAATCTGCAGCAAAAGAAGATGAGACACCGAAGTGTGAATATCCTGATAGGACTCACTGAAACGTGACTATTTATCTTAATGGTGAGTCTTTATGGCTGTAGACACAGTTCTTATCTTAATGAGTGTCAGGTTTATGCACCTATGACACCATATAACACAACACAACACAGGAAAGAGACACAAAGGTCAGAATTCTGTTTAAGCTCGAGGAGAATGGAATAAAGTCACACCAATTCAGCCTCCACTGGACTGATGCTTCCCAAAACCATTCTGCCTTCTGAAATCCGAGCACCCATATTTATTACAATCGGGAGTTCCTTAGTTACATGCCTGAGAGCTGATTCTCAAGGGAGGGGGAAAAGCACAGCTCTCAATCCTGCAAAGTTTAAAACAAAGAGCATTCATAATTACACAAAGAACTTTCAGTGTCTTATCACACGATGAGTCAGCAATTGATAGGACAGCGGATCTTCTCAGGTCGTCCTTGGGCCACATTAAGCCAGGTTTTAACACTCTTAAAACTCATGAGGGAATTTTACAATACAGCAACACAAATGATAAAATCATTGAGCATAAAATATGGGAAATCAAACAATCTTTAATTGTAATAAAGGCATAAATGAAACAATCTTTAATTGTAATAAAGGCATAAAACATGATAATTAAAAACATGAACAATAGTTCTGACAATTTCTTCCTGTTTATCATGATTTAATGCCATATTTTCTCATATCACTAGAAAACCACTTCCTTTCAGATTTTCGGTAACTAGGTCATTTTTTAACGACATCATCATTTACACTCAGAAGGCAAACATCTAATACAAGAGGAATGTTTTTTAAAACTTTATTATTAAAAACCAAACTAAAAACTAAATCAACTTTATTAAAAATAAATCAAACCAAAAGATTAGATCAACTGGAACACAGAGTCACGTGGCATGCCTTTATTCACTCACAGATCAGAACCAAACAGCATCTCAACATGATACTTCTGGGCTTCGTCCTCTTTTCCCTGGTCTTCGAGGTCTGGTATGACGAACAGGGGAAACTCCTGCGCCACAGGAAACTTGTGTGTCATCAGTCCAGATGATGGGGCAATGGCTATGTTGATGAGTCTCGTTATCAGGGCTCGGATGCATGGAATGCAGCAGCACCCACACAGAGTCAGAATGGCTGCGAACACAGCTAGGGACATCAACACTGAAGAAACCAGTGTGTGATACTTTCCAAACATGTCAAACACTGAGTCCCACATGGACGTATCCACGCCAGAGTGGTCTTTCATTTTACCATTCAGAGTGCGAAGTCCTTCCAGAGCCACAGTGAGACTGCCATCTGCCGCAGTGTTGTTCGGGATAGGAGCACAATACTCCTCGTCCAGGTGAAGCAGACCCCGCCCTTCTCGGCCAGGATCATGTCGAGAGCAAATCGGTTCTGAAAGGCCATGAGAGAAGTTGCTGCCAGCTGTCCATGTACAGCCTCGAATCCACTCTGCATCCAGTTGCAGAGTCTCTGCACATTGAAATGGATATAATTAATTCGATCAACATTTTTATTAATTGTACACCATCAACACAAAGAAGATTCAAATCCTGCAGCAACTTGATCAACTAATTTATACTCATCAGGGACCCCTCGTGGAACACCAATAGCATCGATGTAGGTTGGGTCAGTCTGTCCTTGCCAGGTTACATCACGTTTGGTTCGATGTTTCCATTGTCCAGGAATCACACTAGAAAGTCTCTCAACTAATTTTTGAGCTGATGTGGGGTACACAGACACAGGTAACAGCAGTGATACCAAAGCACAAGTTCCAGTTACATTCATAGGTAATTTGTCAAACAGTCTGTTGTCTCCACACCACCACCAGATGTCAGCACGTGGTACAGGTTTAAATGGTACAGAAACTTTCACAACCTCAGAACACCATAACTTTTTCAGTCTGCCCTATTTTGGGTCTTTACCAGTAATATTTACACATGTGAATTGAAATTTTGCTACTTTAGAGGAGAAATAGGGCTTCCTTCTGTCTGGCCCAGTCACAGGATAAATCTCATCCCAAAATGAACAATCTTTAGTAGGATTTGCACTAGTCATTACTGTGAGCATGCAAGTTGAATCTAAATTTGCTGGAGCTATTTACAACAGG